AAAATGGAGTAACTTCTCCCGTTTTCCCAATATTTCCCTTCACTGCTCTGCTCCTATTGATCGTAGCGTAATGAAAAGTATACTATAACCTGCCCAAGAGTATGAAGAATAATTGTGCCAAATTTCGTTAAAATCCGTCGAGTAGTTTTTGTTTCCATAACGAACATACAGACAGACAGACAGACAGACAAAAATTTTACTGATTGCATTTTTGGCATCAGTAGCGATCCCTAACCACCCCTTGATTGTTATTTTTTAAATATATTTTATGTACAGAATTGACATCTCTACAGATTTATTATAAGTATAGATAAACTGTTTGCTTGGTTGAATACGAATAATTTCTATTGTCTTAAAGAATTTATGGACAGAAAATTTTAAATATAAGATATTTTATAAGTGAAAGATTTGCATGCTAAGTACAATTTTGGCAAAACATGTAAGCTCTTTATAATAATTATTGTAACACCATTTATACCATGTTTTATGCAAATAAAGAATTATTATTATTTGGCATCTGCTAAACTAAGTTGGTTTAAAAAATTCAAATTAAGTCAGGTCAGGCAGAGGTATCTGCATCTCGATTTATGTCGGTAAAACCAGACCTGATACATCCAAGAATTCGATAAAAAACTCACGAATTCTTTAGATTTATTAAATTGCTATTAATATGTTATAGTAATTATTGCGAATGTTGTTTTTTTTTCGTAGACAATCGTCGATTTTCAACGCGTTCATGGCGAACTTACCTCAAGTGTTGGACCAGAACCACGTGATGGGCGCCAGCATCGCCGAGCCGACCTTACTCTTACTGCAGGTCTATATTTGTTTACACTGTACTCTCATAATAGGGATGTTTCTGACTAGGCTGGGTAATTTAATGCATTTTTCCAATTTTTTGAAACGAATAAGTACTTACAAATACAAAACAAACAAGTTACAGCTGTTGAGTGTAATAATTTTACTTAGTCAAGTTTTATGAACATTTTTTGTATGTAGGAAGATCTTCTCAAAATTCGGAAAAAGTAGGATCGTCTTACCAGGCTATCAATATTATTACTGGCCGGTCAAGGTTATACGTTGACAATTTCTATTGACTTTGATTCGCGTCTAAAGTTGGCCTTAGGCGTCGTATAAGATGTAGTTGTCACGTGTCTGGCCGGCAGTACTGCTGCGGCGGCGCGGGCGGCGGGGCGGGCGCCGGCAGCCCGCAGTCGCTGGCCGCGCTGCAGCCGCATGTACGCCGGCACTGGCTCATGGCGCTGCTCGTCGTGCTCTACAAGGTTCTAACCTCATACTTCTATATTCTTATGGTTTTTTAGAAAGCTCTACTAATTTCGAGTCACTTCGGGACTCATATTCATAATAACTTTAATTTAGAATGTCAAATTCAAATTCAAATTCAAATCACTTTAATGCAGATGTCTTTTTTAATGTCTTTTTGGGATTGATTGCCAAACAAACAGATGTCACACTTAATGGTAAGCGATCAGCGTTGCTGGTTTAGTCATTACTGTAATAACTATCGTGAGACACAAAATTAATTAAAAATTAAGTTGTGGACGTAAATGATGAGTTGCTCATAAATAAGAGTCCCGTTTTGGTTTGAAACTAGTTGAGCTTTTCTGAATTGGTTCAAATTATTAACCCATTGATTTTAACGAATGAAGGTAATATAAAGTATGTGTGTGTTTAGTACCACTACGGCACGGGTAGTACAGTGGGTCTGGTGGCGGCACTAGTGCGAGTAGTACTGAATTCAGTGGAGGCACAGTACCACGCCTGCAAGAGGATCCCACCCATGCTCGTCATGCCCAGCGCTGCCAGGGCTAGAGGTAAATCATTGTCATATATCAACCACACGACAACCACTGCTGAACTTAGACTTAACTTACTCAAATTAAGGCAGTTTTAAGTTATTAGCTGACACCTATAACAAAAGACAGTTTCGTCGTTTTATTTTGATATCTACACCTACTAAATAAGCCATTGTACGCTTCATGATAAATACTGATATGGAGATGAATTTGCCGACTCAGTGTTTACTCCAATCTAATTAGGAAAAAGATAAAACAAAATTTTACTCCATTTTGTTTTTGAAATCACTTTTTTAAAATAAGTCTTACAGGCTTCGGGTCCACTTTAGTACGAAAAGGTTAAGAAGAAAATGCATATTACCTTGTGTTTGCCGCTGATTCTCTTTGGTTCCCTTTACAAGATAAATGTATAACACTAATACCCTCGACAGACCTAAGCCAACCATCTCTAAAGACGGAGCACGAGGCCGCGGGCGCGGAGCGGGCGGGCGGCAGCCCCCTGCCGGCGCCGGACCGCACCAAGCCCAAGCTGCACCACAAGTCCCCCGCACACATGCACACGCACTGGGAGGAACCCACCAACTCTAACAAGTAAGTCATTCGCTATAAATTCATGTATAATATGATATTTGTGTCATGATTTCTTTTTTTTGTAATAAAAATGTGTATGGTTTTATAAAAGTCCATTTGGACGTCGACTTTTTAAATAAAATACATTTGATGTTTGAAAAGCGCGCTCCGATTTACATTATACGTAATACACGCAAAAAGAAATTCAGTTCCATTTTAGACCTATGGGATATTGTTCTTAAATTTTTCGAGTAAATTTTTCAACGTTATCATATTTTGACTACTAGGAGCTGTATCAATATTGGAAATAGAACGCAACACTTATTAATAAATACATAAAAAATAGTGGTAGAGCTATGCTGTACTCGAGTACTTGTACTTAGAGTACAGCGCGTAGGGGGGCTGGCTCGACCGGGGAAGTACCACGCTCTCACAAGTTACCACTAAATGGGCTAAAGTTATTCCACTCATCGTAATCCGTAAATATTGCCATTAGAAAGTTAAGCTCCAGAGGCCGCTGTATTAACAGCAAAAATTAGACTCATAAGACTTAACTTACCTGTGGCGCTATCTATTGAGTGCGAAAACAGTTAGTTCCATCGAAAATCAAGTGGTGTGATGAGTTCCGACTGCCCAACCTCCACAAATCTTACTTTATACTTGATTTGTGGAGGACATTTCAAGGTCAACTAGGATCCCTTATAATAGGGATCTAAAATAGTGACCTTTCGTTAAAGAAACTAATAGCACCATACATTTTCTCTGAACAGAGAAAAATAGAGAGAGAGAAAGAAAGACTTCGTTACTTGTTATCAACGTTCTTTCAGCGTTTGAAGATAACCTTTCAGATCAATTAGAACTGTCTTCGAGTTGACGTGAAGTCTTGTCGAAGACTGAAGTCGCCATAAAGGTTTTTGTATATTATCTGGATATAGTAGTTAGTCATACAATACATACATACATACGTATATAAATTGTATATGATTCCGTGGGTAGCGGCCTATAGACCATGAGTAATTTTATTTCATAGCAATTCCTGAGCCCGTATTTCTTTTTGCTTACATACTTACATTATACCATACGAACCCACACATAATAGTTTTTAAGAAGAATGGTTCAGGGAGGCAAGGAGTCCATGTCTCTTAGGAAAGTATACCATCTGGTCATACAATCTATAAGATGGAACCAATAGAAGATTTTAGTGTATTAGAAGTACAATTATGTTTGCGACTATTGTTACGTTTTTAGCACATCTGGAACGGAGGGTCTTGATCATTGTTTAGGTCATGACAATTAACTTATAATTTTAGAAAAAGTAACTTGAGACGATTAGCAAGAAACTATAGGATGGTTACTCTTTCCAATATTTCCTGATCTAGCTACTAGAGAGGCCTATGTTTAGTCGTGGATGGCGTGGATCATGATAATAAAATCATCGAAATTATCTTGTCAAGCTTAGCTTGTTTATACAAGTAAGTACGACAATCTGGAGAAGCTGGTGGATGACGGGAAAAGACCACGCGGTCGTTCACCTACCACTTGGCTAGATGCTATAAAAAGCCTCGCCGGTCTGAGAGTTCCACATGTCATAAAGACTGCAGAAGACAGGGACGCTTGGAGGAGGGTTGTGGAATTGTCGCGTCCACCAGTCTAGACACGACCGTCAGTAATGAAGAGACCGACTAAGAAGAAGAAGAATACACACATTATCATAATAATTTCAGTTAAATAGTGTGTCATTTTTGAGTTAACTATTAACCTAACGTCGAAGAGACAGACAGAGACGAGATGAGACCAGTGGCGTGCACAGGTTTTCGAGACAGGGTAGGCAACTAAATATCGTATGATTAAACCCCTCCCCCCCGCCGGTCATACAATCATGCTCACACAAGATAGGTACATGTACATAATATATTTTGAAAAGTGCGTTCAAGAATATTGTGGTGTATTGTTTCGCCAAATTACATACACTGACATCTCGCGTATTTTTTGTGAAGTACTTCATCAGCTATTGAATAAGCCAACAAAACTTACAAATAATGAAAGATCTATTATTTATTTTAATAATGAAGCATATATTTTTTGAACCAAATTTTATTATGTTATTGTTAAGGTTAATCAATCTGGTCAAAATCATAATATATTACGAATTTAAGCCCTTTTCGCCTATATGGACTGCACGCCACTGGATGAGACAGAAAGAGAAAAGATATTTAAGCCAAGATAGATAGCGTCATTAACGCCCCAAAACGTTATATAGTAGTAAAATGAAACCCATTGCAAAGGGAAGAGACGATGCCCAAAATTTTTGGAAAATAAATGACACGCGAACTGGGGTCTAGAAAAGGGTGGGTGTTAAAAGAAAAAATAAAAATGCGGAAGAAGTAAAGGTCCTACGGAAAAAAGTTCAATGGCAAAGTTGTAGATACAAAAATGATCTGCAATTTTGTGTTTACATTTTTAATACACATTCCCAAAATTTACGCCAAAATTTAAAGTACGATGTTCTTGGTTTTTACTTTTATTTTTAATCTTCATCTTTTTTGCGAAATCTTAGGTTAGGCCAATAAGTAAGGAGATAATTATGGGGGTCAAAACTGTATGCTTTAACCGCTTGAATGCCCGTATATGAGACCCACCAAAAGTACTTATATTGCAAAAAGCTGTTCAGACATAAATTGTAGAAAATGATGAGTAGTTTAATTTTGTAGTTAACTATTTTCACATAAAATGGACAGAAAAAGAGATTTGTAAAAAAAAACTGTTTTTGGCCGCAATCTATAAAAATTAGCGATTTTTAAAACTCCCGGAAAACATTGACTAAAATTGGTGCCTTTCTTTTTTCTGGCGGCAGTTGATGATTTATGGAATAAAATTATCTAGAATGACATTACAAACGAAATTGTCTATGGGCTCATATATTGAAATCTCAGTCTGTACTGAGTTATGAGCGCAGCGTTGAAATTAGCTAGAGTCAAACATTTTACTTTGGTGTTTTTATTCAAATTATTCATATTTTTTTCACAATTCCTAACTTCAAATTGCGCGCCACTGTACGCCGGAAACAGGAGCACCATATCACAGCACAATATATCCATATTGCCAGGCACTAATTTTTATTTGCTATTTTCTCTCAGTCGATAACTTGTGGGATGCTTCTAGGAGTTGTCATGAAGCTTCATGAGTGTCAGCTGTGGTTCCAGTGGTGGGTTGAGTAGTGGTGGCCGTCCAAACATCTAATAAAGTATTATTTTTTTGTTGTTGAGTCCTGGTGGGAGATTCATTTAATTTATAGTTAGCATACTCTTCTCGAAGAAAGGAAACCGTCGATTTTGTAAAGTGATGGATTATATGGCGGGAGAAGTAAACAGAAAAAATGTTTTTTTCGTGTTTTGACGACTGCCGCTACCCACCCGCTACCGACGCCGTAGTGGACAAACATAGCATTTCCTGATAGGGCTCAGTACAATATTTTGCGGGTTCTCGACTGAGAGGAAATTGGTCATTAAAATCTGTCATAGGTTAATGGTTCACACTGTTCTGATACCGTGGTCTTATAACAAAAAAAAGTAAAAAAGTCCTCAACACGCTTTATTCAATCAATCAATCATCCGGAAATAGTTTATAAATATTTATTACAGAATATTTCTGACAAGTAAATGAAGAAATATGCGTTGTGTACGGTCACCATCAACAAAATAACATGAATAATATAGCACTATTTTCACATCTTTGAACTGATTTAACTCAGTTTGGGCTGTGTTTTTGATATAAGACCCCATAATTATAGTTTTTTGTTCAACCCACCACTGGTACCACAGCTAACACTCATAAAGCTTCATGATACAACTCCTAGAAGCATCTCACAAGTTATCGACTGAGAGAAAATAGCTAATAAAAATTAGTGCCTACCAATATGGATATATTGTGGTGTGATATGGTGTTCCTGTGCCCGGCGTACAGTGGCGCGCAATTTGAAGTTAGTAATTGTGACAAAAATATGAATAAGTTGAATAAAAAAACCAAAATAAATTGTTTGACTCTAGCTACTTTCAACGCTCATAAATCAGTCCAGATTGACATTTGCGTGTATGACCCTATAAACAATTTCGTTTGTAATCATTCATTAATTCTAGATAATATTTTCAATAAATCATCGACTACCACCAGAAAAAAGAAAGGCACCAATTTTAATCAATGCCTTTTTTTAATCTTGTTTCAATATAAGACACTATGATCCCGTTACCGCTCCAAACAGATTGATCAGTCTCAAGCAGATTTAAAAAAATGTCAGTATTTTACTTGAAGCAACTGACATGTGCTCTTCACAGATCACAATCACTACTTTAACCCCTGGTATTCCGTAACGTAGAAAAACGTGAGACACATAGTATTTTTTATCGTGTATTTTACATGGGCACTCAAGACGTTAAAGGTACATGGTTTGAAAGACATTTTAACCATTAACGTTACATTGAAAAAGAGTAACCAAGTAGTTTCTTGTTCGTCTCTCTCCGTATTCCGTAAAATCTTCACTTTAGATTGACGAACGGACTGATTGAATTATGTATAAAACAAATTCTACATACACGACACACAAACTATGATTATAAGTTATAATCCGTTGTCTTTATTTTACTACCCAAACTCCTAGAAGCATCTCACAAGTTATCGACTGAGAGAAAATAGCTAATAAAAATTAGTGCCTACCAATATGGATATATTGTGGTGTGATATGGTGTTCCTATGCCCGGCGTACAGTGGCGCGCAATTTGAAGTTAGTAATTGTGACAAAAATATGAATAAGTTGAATAAAAAAACCAAAATAAATTGTTTGACTCTAGCTACTTTCAACGCTCATAAATCAGTCCAGATTGACATTTGCGTGTATGACCCTATAAACAATTTCGTTTGTAATCATTCATTAATTCTAGATAATATTTTCAATAAATCATCGACTACCACCAGAAAAAAGAAAGGCACCAATTTTAATCAATGCCTTTTTTTAATCTTGTTTCAATATAAGACACTATGATCCCGTTACCGCTCCAAACAGATTGATCAGTCTCAAGCAGATTTAAAAAAATGTCAGTATTTTACTTGAAGCAACTGACATGTGCTCTTCACAGATCACAATCACTACTTTAACCCCTGGTATTCCGTAACGTAGAAAAACGTGAGACACATAGTATTTTTTATCGTGTATTTTACATGGGCACTCAAGACGTTAAAGGTACATGGTTTGAAAGACATTTTAACCATTAACGTTACATTGAAAAAGAGTAACCAAGTAGTTTCTTGTTCGTCTCTCTCCGTATTCCGTAAAATCTTCACTTTAGATTGACGAACGGACTGATTGAATTATGTATAAAACAAATTCTACATACACGACACACAAACTATGATTATAAGTTATAATCCGTTGTCTTTATTTTACTACCCAAACTTCATATGCAATTTGTATACAATAAAATGATAAAATTATGAAATTAGTATTGCTTTAATCGTTACTGCGATATTTAATGACACAGCTAAATTAATATAATTGCTATAGGTCATCTTTGTCAGTATTGTTGCCCAAAGGGTTTTGCATGTTTGTAAATGGAAAGATATTTTCATATTTTTGTATATTTTTTAATTGTCACTAGGATTTACTCATGCGCCTTGCGTGCGGTTACATTATTGAATATTTATTTTATTTTACTTGCCCCTTCGCTAGGATTTTGTCCTGTGTCTTGGGTGCGTTTAAATCGAATTATTGTTTATTTTACTTGCCCCAAACTAGGATTTAAGGTACTGCTATACATGTTCTAAAGTAGCATACTATAAGGCACTTCATTTACTTAAACAAGTATGCTAATTTGTAAAAACATTTCGACATTTCCGACACACACAATACTAAGCGACCTGCTCAATTGAAGCATACTTTCATATTTGAAATTAGCATTTGTAACAGTTTCTTTAGTCCTGTGTCTTGGGTGCGTTGTAGATATTGAATATTTACTAATTATTTTTTATTTTACTTGCCCCACACACACTAGGATGTTCTACTGTGTCTTGGGTGCGCATTCAATTGATTCAACATTGCAAAATAGTGTTTACTTTTGCATGTTTCGAATTGATAGTTGTATCGATTCGGATAAATGTGTAGATTACAGTAGATTGTGTACTACACTGCTACAATCCGGTCTATCTATAGCTCCTGCTTTGAATATTGTTTTTTAATATGGTTGTGTTAATTATATATTTGATGATTTATCATCAGTATATTACTATTCACTAATATCTCTTGGTTCCTGTGGCTCCCGAGATAACATGGAAATACGAAGACTTATTCCCAGGAAGATAGTTTTTGGAATGGTGCTGTGGTTTTACCATGGATGAAGAAAGCAATTTACAGCTTGGATATCCTTAATGAATAAAGACTTTGAAGATATGATTATTTTTTTCTAATTTTCGGGTTGGGTTGGGGATTGCCTTTTCCATAACCTCTTGCACATGGCGAAACACAACGCAGACGTTGTATCACGCCACTTTCCTCTAATGTCGTGGTATAACTTCGGTCAAGCTGCCCATAAGTACCGAAGCTATTCCACTGTTATTTTGGTTTGTTAAAGAGAGAAACTGATTTTAGCCGTAGACTGATGACATTGCATAATAACTTTTCATAATAAAATTGTATATGACGCTTCCCTTTGGAAGAAGTCCTTGTTTGCTGAGAACCTATTCCATCCATCCAACGTATACCACGTTGTATGTGGTCTCATTCCAAGAGTAGCAGTACGACTTTGGCTCCAATATGAATAAAAGGCGGAACTGGCAGGTAGGCAGTTGGGCATCTTGTGGAGGGAGAGGCGGTACATCACCTCTAAACAAATGTTGTGTCTGCACCAAGCACCAGTTCGGTCCTGTATGTGTTCTCATCTTTGGGGTGGCTAACTTAAATACCAGCTGGACGCACTAGAAAACTCCGAGAGGCGTGCAAAGAAGTTCATCAACAACTATGCGCTTGTGGAGGCCCGTCTTCAAGCCCGTGACTGTGCAGGGGAATTGCACAACCTGATTGCCATTGGTGCTTTCCATCATCGTACAAGACATTCAGCGAAGTGCCACCGCTTCATGGTGGATGTCCCACTCACTCGCACGAAGCACTTAGCTTCAATATTTGTGCGAACTACTAAGAAGTGGAATTCTTTACCAGAGTTTCTGTTTTCCGATGGGTAAAACCTGAGTGTTTTTCAAGACTCAAGTGAAGAGGTTGCCTAGAGGAAGATGTGCTCTCAGATCACATTTAAAAAAATCTTGGTGCTATTAGTTTCCAACAGTAGCGAAAAATGCTATTCTTCAGGCAAGCCGAGCTATCAAGGTATTAAGCATACCTAATGTTTAACCTCTTGAATGCCGGTTCATGAGATACAATAGAAAATACATTGTGTCTCGACCACCAAACAAATGTATCACTCTACAGCTTAGGATCAAAAGGATTTTTTTCGGTCTCCTAAACTGAAGATTAGAATGGAGCCACATTCTAATCAACAATTTTATATATCTTTGAACACTTTAATATTTGGTGATGTAATATGAAACGGTTTAAGGTTCTGTGAGTACATCGACCAAAAATTTTGTGATTTGTACATTTTAATGTACAGTAATATGTTCTTCAAGATGTTTCAAATTTGGGTACTTCAATATTAAGTAAAAATCGCGCGTTACTCACGTGAATATACTGAGATAAGCTCTATTAGTTTCGAACCACAGACGGGTTCTTCCTCATGAGCAGCGTGCACGGTCCACTTAGATGTCGCGCAGCCTACTGGCTGGCGTTGGCGCTCGCCTCGGTGTTGCTACTTGCACATCTTGTCCAACACGCCCTCTGCCGGACACCACGAGCATTTGCTTCCAACTCCGGCGGCGGCGCGCTGAACGATGTTGAAGCGCACGGTACGTTCACCAGCGGCGCGGGCAGTGGGTTCGATTCCGGGTTCGGCATAAAGTCAGTGCTACGTATAACGCTTACTGTGTCACACTCCAGATTATAGACGCTGCGGATCGTCGTAGACTCCAAGTTCGGCTTCCACGACGGTGGCAGTACCCAGCCACTATCTCTGTTGAAGCACGGATGCCGGCTAATCTCGATGGCTTCTCGCACTTTTCGCGGAACGAAGTAGTTTTCCCTCGCTAGTACGGAGACCTTATCAAACCGTATGAAGTGAGCTGCGTCCGTACCGCAAACATGTTCAGCCACTGCTGATGCCTGGATATCCATCTTCTTCACGCTGCGTATATGTTCCTTTAGCCTTGTTGTGATGTTGCAACGAGTTTCCCCGATGTAACTCGAGCCACAGTCGCACGGTATTATGTACACTCCGGGCACACCCAGCGGATCCTTATCAGTAGATGAGCGTAGTAGCTGTCTTTGCTGACCGGGTGGAAGATCGTCTTGATACAATATTTACGGCGCAGCAGGTGTCCAGAATCGGACACCCAGTTACTTCTTTCATGTATGGTAAGAACGATGGAGTCTTACCATACGTGAAAGGAGTAACCGTCCGTGCTTCAACAGAGAGGGTGGCTGGGTACTGCCACTGAGCCGAGTTTGGATTCTACGTCGATCCGCAGCATCTCGTGTCTGGAGTGTGACACAGTAAGCGTTATATGCTGCTTCGCCGTAAATATTGCATCAAGAAGATCTTCCACCCGGTCAGCAAAGACAGCTACTACGCTCATCTAAAGATAAGGATCCGCTGGCGGTGCCCGGAGTGTACATAATACCGTGCGACTGTGGCTCGAGTTACATCGGGTAAACTCGTCGCAACATCACAACCAGGCTAAAGGAACATATACGCAGCGTGAAGAAGATGGATATCCAGGCATAAGCAGTGGCTGAACATGTTTGCGGTACGGACGCGGCTCACTTCATACGGTTTGATAAGGTCTCCGTACTAGCGAGGGAAAACTACTTCGTTCCGCGAAAAGTGCGAGAAGCCATCGAGATTAGCCGACATCCGTGCTTCAACAGAGATGGTGGCTGGGTACTGCCACCCTCGTGGAAGCCGAGCTTGGAGTCTACGTCGATCCGCAGCGTCTCTAGTCTGGAGTGTGACACAGTAAACGTTATATGTAGCACTGACTTTGTGCCGAACCCGGAATCGAACCCACTGCCCACGCCGCTAGTGAACGTACCGTGCGCTTCAACATCGTTCAGCGCGCCGCCGCCGGAGTTGGAAGCAAACGCTCGTGGTGTCCGGCAGAGGGCGTGTTTGACAAGATGTGCAAGTAGCAACACCGAGGCGAGCGCCAACGCCAGCCAGTAGGCTGCGCGACATCGCTGCGACCGCACACGCTGCTCATGAGGAAGAACCCCTCTGTCGTTCGAAACTAGTAGAGCCTTTCTCAGGATATTCACGTGAGTAACCCGTGATTTGTAGTTAATTTATGTCGGAATACTGAAACGTTACTCAATTTTAAGTCGTGCTTAAGTATAGTTCTGTCACTACTAATTCTTTGTGAAATAACAGAGATGGCACGATATTTGAGCACGATTTAAAATTGAGTAACGTTTCAGTATTCCGGCATTAGTATGTCTCACAATAGTTATTATACTTCAATATTATTCTGTACATCGTTAATGCCGTTACTAACTGCTAACATCGTAGTGAATGGGGATCAGCAAGTCTAGAAAAAGACGGCGATGTTTGAAACCTACATGGAACAGGTAACAATACGTTTTCCATTGCTGATATCTATTACAAAAATTAATAAGAATAATAAACTTTATTTTTGTGGTGTAGGTATTGGAGATACTACTTCACTAGACCGAAACATCGAGTATGGCGGAGAGTATGAGACCTATTCCTATACTGGTTTGGTGAAATCAGGCGAACGCGGCAGCCATACCATGGCGAACTGTATGCGCAGCATAGCGTTGCGGCGGGCGGCGGTGTTATGTACATAATGCCTAAGGAATGTGAGTTTAAAAAGGTGAGGTTCTCAGCAAAATCGTAATCAGTCAATGTGAAACACACGAGAGTAAAGGAGGAATTGGTAACTACACTAATTTTATAATAATATTTTTATGAAGGAGTGAACGACCCACAAGATGTCGACCATGGCAACTGCTTCAACTTCAAAGTTACTATTTAAGGTATTGTAGACATCATGTACTCTTTTTTAATTTGGCAATAGAATAAGGAACTATAGAGAGGTTTGCCAGTGGACGCATCAAAAGTATTTTAATTCTTGTAAAGTTTCATTATCATAATCAGTCGGAAGACATCCATTGCTGAACAAAAACCTCTCTCCTAGTCCGGACTGGGTGTATTTAAAGGTGGTGGGATTATTTGCCAATATTAAAAAGGAACCAAGTACACTAGTACTTGTTTTCTAGAACACTACATACATTGATAATATCACAAAGATTTGCATCACAGGGTATGGCGTATCGAGCCACACACTGTAACACTACAAGAAGAATGTTTTTCTTAAATAAAGTGCTACCACATTAAAACCGACTTTTATTTTGAATGGACAAATAAAGATTTACTAAATGAATATTGGTTTTTTTCTCCTTTCTCGTGTCTTTGCTGATTAGCATTAAAGTGAGAAACTGTATAAAAACCCTTACGAAACCTTACCTTACCGTTACAATATAATTAAAATGAATTATTAAGCTCAGATAGCTTGATAATTAAAGGTTAATACAAATATTTTAACCTTGTTACATAATTTAACTGGTTGATCAACCTGTTGTCCTATATTTTGGTTCTTGTCTCTATGGTTTTTGGGTAAAAAGTGGAATAAGTCTTGCATTCTGACGTATTAAAGCTATCATTCTTCAAATAGGGATGGTGTTAAACCGGTGTAGCCCCATCTTTATCGTTGAAGCTATGATAGACTTCATACGTCATCATAAACAGACTTATTTAACGTGTTAAACTCCTAACTCTATGTATTAACTAACGATTTAATGAAATATCAATTGATTGTCGATGGAAGGACGAACTTTTACTTATTCTCCGTTAACAGAATAATTAAAATGTTCAAATGACATCAAATTATGAATATGGAGATCAGTTACCCTTATATTCCTAGAAGAGAATGTAAGATTAATTGACCCACATGGTTTGATGTCTATGTTCTTCATATCTACACACAATTCATATAATTAAACTGTTTAGGTAATAGCTAGAGTTAGGTAAAAGGTAACAAGGTGAGTTTTTTTAGGTACCAGCAGTGGAGTCTGGAGCAGGAGTCTTCAGAGAGCGAGTTGATAGCGATCCCGGAGACTAGTGACAAGTCGGATACCACTGTTCATGGCAGTACTGCACCGGTAAGATGACCTTTATTTCTTTCTTGCTCTTTTCAGTCATGTTTCTTACCTATATATTTTCTCAATTAACCTTTTCTAATCGTAGTACCTACTTAAGTGTTGGGTCACAGTTGGTTTAATTGTAATTTTAGTTATAATTAGTGATGGCAGATTCATCAGCCGTGTTAGTGTTAAGTGTTGATCAAGAAAATCTTTATTTGCTTCAGATGAAAATGCTATTGGTACTTAATCTTTATTCGTGACAGAGTGGTCGTTGTCGTCATATTGTCGTCTCGGCATTCCCGATGTTATATTTCGAACTGCTCTTTATAACCGGCATGAAGTGTGATCAAAATATCCTAAAAATTAAAAGAATATAAAAATAAAAATGTTCCAATATTCCAGGGTTCATTCGACGAGCCGTCCCACTACGAGGACCCCCCAAAGGTAGAAACGCCCGCCACTACAACCGCTTACCCGCCGCTCAGTAAAATCGTAAGAATTAGAATATTTCATATTGTTTTGCATGACTTTTTGTTATTTATTACTAGGTCTAGATATCTAGATAGTGGCTCAAAGCTTCGCATAGAAATCATGATGTAACGAAGATTAGTTTAATTTGTGGGTGATGTCCAATTAGGTAGTAATTTCATTAGTAAAAGATTCATAAATTAGACACGATATTCATGTAACAAGACATTTTATTACGCTGTTCGTCGATTAGTTCCGAGCTCGATCGGAGCCCTTACTCATGAAATCACGTATGATATACGCTAATACGTAATTAAAACAAAGTTTGGTTTTTAGTTTGACTGTCGAATAATAATAATTATTATAGTGAATCAACCAAAGATTTATTATTTTCTCTTCTTGAGACGATATCGCTTTTATACCTATATAGCCAACCCTGGGCTCCCGTTCAGCACATCAGCTGTCGACCAGCTCATCAGTCTCCATCGGCAGCGACTCCTCGAACCTGTAAGTAAACTACCACCGTATCTCTTGTCCTGGGTCACTAATGTTTGAACTTGTGTACTTTCTTGTGAACTACAAGTCGTACATAGCTTCAAACATTTGTTACTACAGTGTCACAGCCACAGAAATTGTTATTATAATTGATGTAATGAGGGCTACCATTTTTTGCTCAACAGATGTCGCTACTGTATCGTGCGGTCTGGTTGTCCAATACAGATGAACTGTCAAACACCAAGCGGTCACCGGTGACCGCAACCTATTGTTCTATAATTATGTCTATAATGACGGTACTCGAATTACTGGGTTTTTCAAAAAAATCCCAGTAGTAGCACGGAGTCTGGAATTGTGCCCGGTATATTGCAATAGGCTCACCCCCTATTACATGGGACTCATAACATAAATAGTGAAAAGTGGGTGTTACATTGTACAGTGGCATAATGTACACCTCTGCCTACCCCTTCGGGGATAAATGGCGTGATGTTATGTTATGACGGTACTCGACGAGAGAAGAGACATTCCGTAGAATTCCACTGCTGGACTATATAGCCTTATTCTCAAAATATGGTTTTAATTATTATCTATGTTTTCGGCTTACTCATGTAACTAGTAGTCCTCGTCAAAGGAACCCGACTAGTTTTAAGCTATGCTAGAGGTTCATATTCATGAGCAGTATTCCGTGACGTCGATATTGTCGCGCTGCTCTTTCTTATGTCGCCTGTGGGGAGAGAAGGGTGACAAATGTATTTAACTCTCCTGTCACCACTGAACTATACATAATGGTAGATAATTTAATTAGTATCAATATCAAACCATTGGAAAATCTATTTTGTACAGTTGATGAGCAAAAAATCGGTAGCCCTTGTCGACTGGTTTTATCACCTGGAGAATGTTTTTGATTTGTTTTTAATATAGAAAGTCAACACCTATGAGCGGTCAGTCAGTGGAGATCTGGCCCGATCAGATACATCAGCAGACGTCACCGCGTGCCAAGATATTGGGTAAACAGAAGAGAATTATTGGTATGTTACCATTTCAATTATAATAATAAATACATCATAATACAGAAGACTTATGAAATAACTCTTGTCAGACGGTTTACAAGGCAACTCGACTTGTTTCGAGCCATTCTAGGGAGTCATAGTCATGAGCAGCCCAGTAAACGATACGGATGCTAGATCACGCAGCCAACAGACAACACTGTGTATTGTTTTTGTTAAGGTATTATTGTGAAAATAACCTTGAGATTTTTTTATGTGTCTCAGTGGGCAGTAGTACGTCTCCGGACACGGCACCCTCTTCTAATGGAGACGGTCAGTTCGGACAATGGCCACATGCACGATCTCCTCCACAGCATCACATCAAAAGTCCAGGTAAGCCCTGAGGAAAATTGGACCTTATTGTTCAAAATTGAGTTTATTTAGGTAATTGAGTTTTTTTTATGTAAAAGATCCAACAGTCCCACTATTTGTATATAATTTTGTTGGACACCACGTTAGATTGTAAGGTATACCGTGTACCTTTTATGAAATAAATAATGTCGCCAAAATTTAGCTTAACTAAAGCGGTCTTTACAGTGACCAACCTGTACATTTTTTCTACTTTATACTAAAACAATAAAGTTAATAATCTAATAAGGAACCAAAGACGTTGACCTGCTGATGACAATGCGTTGGTATTCGAAATTATACCCTATTTATTTGTAGCTAAGAACGTTGGGTATGCGTATGCGTCGCCGGAGTCTCCTCTATCCAAGATGGAGGTTGCATGGAACGCTCCCCCTCCTACAATGCAACAACATTCACACCAGCCCTTCCATATACCACCACCTGAGCGGTAAGAACATACAATCATACATTTACGACTTCATAGGGACTATTTATTATACCCGAGCGTACGGCGCGTCGCGTTCCGCGCGCGCCTCAAAGAGCCATCAGAACACCACAGATGGGGCCCAATAGGGCCGATGCCGATTCGGAGTCGCGGAGAACCTAACGGGTAACCGGGGCTCCGGCTCGACGTGCAGGAGAAGGAACGGGGTGGTTTTTAGTCAGTAAGAGTCTGACACTCCCTCCCGCCTCACCCAGGCGGGAGCAGTCATTCGATGATATTCCCCCTTAAAAAAAAGACTATTTATTATACTCGAATTTGCTATCAGAGGTTAGTACCGCTAGTGAAAGAGACATGTAATTTGTTTATTTTTATTAATAAATTCCCGTTTAAAAGTTTTCTCCCGTTCCCGTAGGAATTTCAGGACTTTTTTCTGTCATAAGAACCTTCTCCTGACAATAATAAACTCAACAAAAAATAAATCATTCAAGTCGGTCTAGCCGTTCTCAAGTTATGGCGTGACAACGGGAAACGGGTTTCATTTTTATATATTTTTATATATATATAGAGGTATTGATATCGCACCATTGAACTTGCCACTAGTAAGAGCAAGCATAGAATCTTATATTCTATTAGCACCATATAGTGAGAACAAAATTGATTTCATTACCTTCTTTTGACAATAATAATCACTCGAATCCGATGTCTTTTTTGTGAGAATATCTCTACGTAATGTATCTTCTACAGGTTGTTACCAATCGGTCCCAAGCCCAACAAGGAGCAGTATCCAGTTTTCAACGCCCTAGTGGACCGAGTCAGAGAGGCATTGAGTTTGCCACCAGGTAGGGATCAATTTCATTTATCTACTTTTATATCAGAATCATTACATACCTATATGTCAGAATCAACGAATTTGAAGAAAATATATATATTCTAATATTGTGTGGTGACACTTGTCACATGTCAACGGATGACGTCATAAAATCCTACATCGCACATGCAAAGTTTACATGCAAATTAACCCTAATAGAAAAGCCCAACGGACGACTGTTTGGCAAAAAGCCCGTCAGGCACGATCACCTCGCCTGGTCGGAGGATCCTCCTTTTCCGATCTTAGAGAACTTTACTCTCTGTTCCTAAAATTGAGATAATTCTGGCAAAATAAAAAAAGCCATGCACATAGTTGCTTGCTTAAATGTACCTACTTGCTATGTCTAGATGATTCAACAGACAACACTGGGTCCTCTCGGTCTGACGGCGACGCTACTCCCACGCCTACGCCCACCAGCAGGCCCCACGACTTGAATAAGAAATCTTCTGAAAGTACTAGGTGAGTATATCTTTAACTTGAGTGAGCTGTAAATGCTATTAATTAAAAGTTGTGGTAAGCATATCAATCTACGTTAATCTGTCATTTCAGACTAATATTAAAGAACATTAAAGTTTGGTACCTATTTGGTCATTCATATAGTAGTGTGAGTAATATAAAACACGTGTATGTTGTACAGGTCACCGCGTCGGTTAGCAAGACAAGTGGCGCAAACTGGATCGCCGCCGCACCAACACACTGCTGGTAGTAGTTGTCTTTGTATTACAGAGTGGATTGATTGGTATTTTTGACACACCGTAATGATGTCGTCCGGCAGAGTGTGTGGGCTGCGCCGGCTGCGGGGGGTGGTGGGAGGGGGAGTCCCGCGCCGGCAAGCGAGCTGCGCATGCGCACGCCGCGCCGCATCGACCTGACCACGAACTGTGCTACCGCTGTACGTATACGGTTACCATGTTATATAGTCTTATATACTACGTCACTAGACAAGTCTTAGGTTGGTATTGTACGGCAACACAGGCGCGGAGTGCGGCACGGCGGTGGAGCAGTACAGCGACGAGGAGCTGGGCCTGTGCATCATAGTGCTGGCCACCTTCGTCCACAGGGAGCCGGCCGCCGCCGCCGCCATGCTGCCGGCACTGCTGCATAACGTCAGCAGGTAATTACTCATCACTTTAATCTTCATTTTTTATGTCTGGAGTTTAGGCACTATTAAAACTCAAAATAGATGAAATAGAAACATTTCAATACAAAAGTTCAGGTAGATGGAAAAATTAAATGGTAGGACAAGGATTTAAGATGTTGTTGTAAAAATAAAATGAAAGCTATAACCGGCGACAACACTTTGTTCCACAATTTTGTCATCATGAACAATTAATTGCTGACTAGCGGGATAGGCCAGAAACTCAGGCTATAAATCGCTATCTAACCAATTAATATCATAACCACTTAATTCCTCCCCCATTTGTTCTTCATATTTTATAGATATTGTCCTTCCAATAAATTTTTTCATAGTTACAGTTTCTTTGATAACGTTACCTCGTTTGGCGCTCTTGATTGGTTGGTTAATTGCAGCTGACCAATCGGACCGCCGATCGTCATGAATGTGTCGATGGCGTTACGTTAACAAACTCGCAGTAGAGAGTACACAGACCCCGTAAGTTCCACAATGCTACATGTCGTGACGCCCCCAGAGTGGTCCAGCTGGGCAACTACTCGTGGCAGGCGGAGACCAACACGCGCCTGCCGGGCAGCGCGGTGTTCGTGGCGCACCAGTTCCTGCGCTGCGTGCTGCACCAGCTCGCGCCCAACAACGTCTTCCTGCAGATCTTCCTGCAGCGGACGCCAGGTATACCGACCACCGAACTTGTCATAATAATATGCTTACTGCTCAACATCGTCATCTTCAAGTTAATGTGTGCCTCCTTCAAATTTATAAAGATTCAAAGTTGAATATGAATGATACTGAATGAATGAACTGCAAAGAAAAGATTTCTTCTCACACAGAGAAGGAATGATCAATCTCCATGCTTGCTCAAGGTGGATACATACCTCTACATACGTCTCCCAAATAAAGCCATCTTCATCATGTCAATGCCACTGATAGAACAACTTTACTCTAACATGATACTTATTAACATTCATCAGTCCCGTCAGATGATTATAAGGTACCATCTCTTGTACTATCATTATCAGATCAAGTTCAATAGTTGTATTTGTAACATTATTGAACTTTCCATACAGAGAAACAAAGGCAAATGTTCTTCAAGAGCATTGCGCAGGCGTTTGTGGACTTCAACGAGCTGTATCCATGCGGACCGCTACAACTGGTCGTGGAACATCTCAACTCGAAGAAAACTTTACCTGTCGACGTAAGTTTTATTAGTTACTAGCTTTTACCCGCGGCTTTGCTCGCGTCACAAAAGGATAAAAAGTAGCCTATGTGACATATACCAATACACACAGCGCCATCTATACCAATTATTTCGTTTTCCCTCTAGGATGTCAATTTTTTCCGGTATAAAAAGTACCCTATTGTTTAATCCAGACTTATAACTTTACGTCTGCAAAAATTCAAAGCAATCGGTTTAGTACCTGGTTACGGCGTGAAAGCACAGTGTAAACAATAGAATATCGTGCAGCAAATGGGAGTGATAGCGGGCAACATCGCGATGTACCTGGAGTGCCTGGCGCCCGAGGCGCTGGGCCCGCTGGGCGCGTGCGCGGCGCTGGTGGCGGCGCTGGACGCGCTGCTGCGCGGCGCGGCGCTGCTGCTGCACCAGCTCGACGACGTGCTGCCGCTGCTGCGCGCCGCCACCGCCGCGCTGCGCGTGCCCGCCGCCGCGCAGCACAAGGTACGCACTGACACAACAATCTCTGGTGGTCATTTTCACCAGCCACCCCTGAAACCATCTCTTTACTAAAAGTTACTTAGCTTGAAAAAGCACCTAAACTAACCTCTTGTACTGTTAACTGTCACTTATAGGTTGGTAAAAACTCAAATGTTAACTGTCGTCTATTTTAACTTAGGGGTTCCTTGAAATTAAAAACAGATTGATGGAATGAGTGGTGTAGGTACTTAAATCATTTTCATAAATATCCCAAAAAAATAATCTATCACTACTTCAGACCTCACCAAGGATAGGAAATAACGAAAATGATCAAAAACAAGATATTTGTATTGTAGCTTGGCTTTTAACTAGTCGAGTTCCTCGTCAAATTACTACGCGGGTAAGCCGAAAACATAATAATTTAAAAACAAGATACTTAGAAATGTCTCCGGTATCATAAGAACTTCTACAGCATGTTTTCCATAGAAAGTACTCAAACCCGGAATAACATTATGTAGATCACACGAATATTTGTTACGTTCGAGAATTAACTTCTGCTTCGATTATGTGAAGAGACAATCTATGCGACAATCAGATACCTGTTTTAGATTCCACTGCACCCCATCGTCCAGCCATTATTGCAGCACTTCACGGTAAAGTAGTGTAAGCTGATTAATCGCCCACTGTCATGCATGCGTACGGATGCAAGAGGGGGTTTAATCAACTTGGACTGCTTTATATACGACAAAGTCTACGCGTTTATTTCAACTACCACTAACCAGAAAAACGAGTGTTGGAAGTCACTACAAGCCTGAAGCCGCCTATTTAAGAGGAATAGGTAATTATTTGTGAAGCAACGAATGTCTTGCGGCTGATGATGATGATAAAATCATATACCGACACTTTACTATCTATGGTTCATATAAATAAATGGTTGCAAAACGCAGATTCGTATGAAGAAGAACGAACAAGACAAGAACATGAGCGGAGGATCTCTTCAACGTTGTGATGACGACATTATACAAAATTATTTCTCCAGCGAAACCTCAATTGCAACAATTTTACACAAACTTTACATTCCATTTAACCTTTCAATAGGTAGATGCCTAATTTTTATTTTAATGTCCGTCTGGTAGATTATTTTAAATCATTATATAGACACGTATTATTTATATTCTTACAGAAACTAATACTTTCGACGATATATTGATTTAAAATATCGTGTGACGTCACTTCTATGTACATTTTGTACGTAGAAATGACGTTTTAGCCCACACTCCTAAACTTTGATTCGTTGTATCTAAGTATTGTTTTATTATACGACAAAATAAAAATATACGTGTCTTACGGACTAATTAGATTTTTACCTTTCATACCCAGGCATCATCCCAATTATATTATGACACTTAAACCAACATCCTCAAAATTATCAATTACTTGCTTTCCATCCACAGAGCATCCTGGAACCGATAACCAAGATCATAAGCTATGGAGTACAAAACTTTGTGCTGAAACTATCAGTGATCTCAGAACTGAGCGTCGTATGTACGCGAGTGTTCAGTCGCGACAGAGACAAGCTCCTGGTCTGCAGGGTACTGGTGTACGAGCTCGTGCAGGCACTCAGGACCAAGACTACTATACCTGATGACAACCTGTTTATTCTTATACAGTTTGTACTGCAAGGTAAGTGAATTTATAGTTCTTGCTTTATATATGAATGTTTTTTTGAATAAATATTCCCGTCCAGCAGGATAATAGATAAATTTCTTCAACACATTTTCGAAATTTTTACATAACTATTAAGTTGATATAAATTTTTGCTTGTCTTAACAAATGAATTGTCTTAACGGCTTACTTACGTAACTAATTGACGACAACTCGACTGCCCTATTTTATATTAACAAATAAAATAGGGCAATAAACGACGCCATAAGCCAATTGCAATCTAACTTACGCTATCTTCCTTCCAAGGCCACGGCTGCCGCCTAGTCCTTCCTCCCCAGCTATCAGGCGGGGAACTTGCCAGCACTTGTATGGACGCCCGGGAGATAGCGGCCGGGGCCGTGGACTGTATGCGACCACATCTACCTGATATGATAGACCTGCTGCAGGATCCGCATCTGTTAAATAAGATCAAGGTAAGTTATGTGGTACAGACCTCTTTTGTAGAGAAGGTAACCCCTCTTCTGTAGAGGCCCGTAGTGATAAACTCCTCTTGAGTAGAGGAAATTCATAGTCGTTAAATCTCTTCTGTGTAGAGGAAGTTCATCATTTGGTAGAATAGCAGTCCACTATGGTCCCGGGATCACATTCAAGTGTCTGTTCATCAGTGTAAATGGAATGAATATAATTTTCTTCAACAGGGTTCAGTCTCCAAGTCAATCGTTAACCGCAACTTAATTTGCCTGAATGAAGACACATTAGGCGCTATAGTGAAGGGTGGTATAGCTCAGTACGTGGCGATGGAACTGGCACTGGAACACAGTCGCGGACGACAGGACCGTGCGCAGCCTGCCAGGCATATGACGCCTTGGATTAGTACCTCGCTGCCTGGGTGAGTGAGGATGATTTTCGAATTTTAGCTTTTGAACAACTGTTTAGCCCGTTGATATCCATCCCCTAAATTTGATCATACAAAAGTATTCTCTAAACATTAGAAATAAGGTCTATAATGTAATGTAATATTAGTGGAAAGCGGTCACCGGTGACCGCTTGGGGATTTATGGGTTAGGCAACGACTAGGGAACTCTCTAGCCAAGTTCAATGGGGTGGGGTTTTTTATCCGATCACCTAGTAATCTGCGCCGCTCATGGTTACTCGAAATGCTAGAGGTGTTACAAGTGGGGTGCTGGCCTATAGGGGTTGGAATTTCAGGATTGTTAAAGATTTGAGGGTCTAACCTAACCTCGCTCTCCACAAAACACAATGCAAGCGTTGTTTCAGTCGAGTTTTCTGTGAGGCTGTGATATCACTCTGGTCGAGTCTACCCAACAGTATCGAAGAATGGCTTTCTCACAATAGATAAATTATACATTGGTTTCATTTTAGAGTGGGTCTATTTTTTCTTGTCCAAAGATTATTGTAAAGGAATTAGCACTCTATTTTCTCCAAAAATGCTAGTGAACTTAGCATTAAGGTCTAATTCCTTTTCACTCGTACATTTTTGTGTCGGGGAAGATTTGTTGAAATGACGTCTCCATATGTCGCGCAGTTGCCGCGAGGTGTGCGAGTGCGTGTCCCGCGTGCGCGTGGTGTCGTGGCTGGTCATGGGCGCGCTCTGCAACGCCGCGCAGCCCGGCCCCGGCCCGCCCGGCCCCGGCTCCCACCCGGCCCACCCGGCCCACCCGGCCCACCCGCACGCCATGCAGCCCGTGCCGCAGGACGCCACGTGCCACATCACCGACTACATACAGGTTACTGCTTCACACTCATTATTTCTTTTTCATTGATAAATTAAACCTTACCTCTGGTATGTGCCGCGGAGAACCTTACGGGTTACCGGGACTCCGGCTCGAAGTGTAGGAGTAGGAACGGGGTGGTTTTTAGTCAGTGATAGTATGACACTCCCTCCCGCCTCACCTAGGCGGGAGAAGTCATCCGATGATATTCCCCCCTTATAAAAAAACTCTGGTATATCGGAGCGTACAACTACGCAAGACACAAAGCGTTTTTTATTGTGTCTCATATAGGCATATACATAAGGTTACTTCTTATGTATCAGAATATCCACTCATAGTAGCATCGTCATTCTGATAAAATGTCAATTTCTGATAAAAATCAATGCGATACATATTTGCTCATTATGTTCCCGGATATTAAATGAAATAAAATTTCAATTTATAATTTAAACACACTTCATAATAATTCTTTATTCATAAAAAATCATCTTTCATGGAAAACCACAAATATCCGCAATATCCAATAGTAACAGCTCGCGTCCCCGCAGACGATAATGTCGTCGTACGTGGAGGCGGGGCGCGGCGCGGGCGGGGCGCGGCTGGCGGGGCTGCTGCACGCCTTCGTGCTGTGCCAGCTGTGGACGCTGTACCTGGAGCACCTGGCCGCGGCCGCGCCGCCCGCCAGCGAGCCGCACTACACCACCACCTGTCTGCTGCTGGACTTCTGGTGCAAGCTGGTGCCCAGCATACTGCAGGTCACCGTGCAGTCGAAAGTGGTCAGTATCAATATACTTGGTAATTGGTACAATTACCAAATACTTAGTCTATATCTATTCTATATTCCGTGATATCTACATTGACTTTATTATCCTGTTAAACTACACTTTGTCTTCAATGAAAAATTATCGAGTTAAATATTCTTGCGTAGAACTTTATTGAAACTTAAGATCACTTATCATGTATTGTTTTGTTATTTACATCACTTTAGCATTTTTTGTTCACTAACAAAAGAAAACACATAGTTTTTGAGCATGCTCGACTAGTTTCGAGCTACAGCCGGGGTTCATAATCATTAATAGTATATCTTAATTACGTCGCCTAGTTCTTTGATACCTATCACATATTTGTTCTTCTGCTAACGACTGTCAATTTATTCTCAGCTGGCAGAGACAGTGAACCTCCACTTCCTAAGTCTACTGGAGTCTCTGCTCGAGTGTAACTCCACCGTGCTGAATAAACTGCTCCCTCTATGGAGTCCTATTCTACACTCACCATTATTCAATGTAAGTTCTACTTCTATTTCATTTTTTCCGTCTTTTCCCCAAATTATTCTGCACTACATACAAACATATCAAATTTTATATCTTCGGGCTTAGTGCACCATTTGTTGCTAGAGCTTAAAAAAAGAGATAGCAGAGGTAAGTGTGACATGCCAATGTAGTGTAGGTAATTAGGTATCCATTATTCAAGTAGTCTCGGGACGATCTCCGGCCACCGTAAGGGCGGGCCTGCGGACGACGAGCATGGGTGGCTCCCCGTCCGACCAGAAACAGACCCGAGCGTACGGCGCCGAGCGTTCCGCGCGCGCCTCAAAGAGCCATCAGACTACCAGAGACGGGGCCCAACAAGGCCGATGCCGATTCGGAGTCGCGGAGAACCTAACGAGTAACCGGGGCTCCGGCTCGACGTGCAGGAGAAGGAACGGGGTGGTTTTAAGTCAGTAAGAGTCTGACACTCCCTCCCGCCTCACCCAGGCGGGCGAAGTCATTCGATGATATTCCCCCCTTAAAAAAAATATTCAAGTAATTCAAATTAGGTACGTTTTAAGTAAGACAAAAAACATATTAGTTATCATTACCAGGCAGAGCTTGACTATAAGCTTCGAATAAGGTAAGTAAATTAATAGCGGTTTATTGGTAGGTAAAACGCCAATGTGAGGTAGCATGACTGCGGTCAAGGTATGATGTTTTAAAATTACGGAAGAGAAAAATTAAGTAAAATAGTAAGTATCTATAACGTATTCATGTTTTGATGAAAGGTATTAATAGAAAACCTATTATTTTTAATTTTTCAATAACAATTGTATTTGATCTGAACAAAAACAGATGTTATATATATCTGAGGTATTTTATTACCTCGTTTCTAATTTCCTGATCGACTGGATTGAATAAAAAGGCAAAGGTATAATAACTATCCACACAATTTTTTCAGGTCACAGCTGATCTGAAACCCTCAGGATGTCTTGAGGGATTACTGATACCTTAATATCGGTTACCACCAAAAGGGACTTGATCCTGACCGCAATTACAGTTTTCTATGCCGGTTTAATTTTACGTCTAATAAAACAAAACTATAACAATTTGCATTATTTTCAAAATTGACACAAAACATTACAGCCTACGCCATTAAGTTATGCCTCTTATGATATGCTTAGTCCACTGGACTGGATCTAAGCTTTAGAAATTTGGTATACAGGCAGGGTATGGGCCGACTTAGGTGATAGGATGCTTTTTATCCCGATTAAATGCTCCCTTGGTAGAAATACACGGGCAAAGTCGCGAGTGAAAGCTAGTTTATTATTATCCATTTAATGAACAGAATCAGTTTTTGATCTAAAAACCGACCGAAAAACTAGTACGTCATTATGATTACGGTAATTATTAAAATCAATATCGACCAAAGTTAAGTCATGGAATCTTCTCCTGTAGTATAGGAGAAATAGAACAGCTGGTAAACATGTTTTACATACTTACATTTGAGATTAACTGACTAACTGATGTGTTAATTCATAAGTTAGATTAATACTGATTGTATAGTTTTTTGCAATAAATGCTAAAGGACATATGGTTCTGGTTAACAAAGGACAGTAACCACAGATTTTGATTGTACAAAATTTAATTGTACGACAAATTATTGATTCAATAGAGATCAGATATAGATAAAAATGTAGTCAAAAATCTTGCTTTAGGAGCCGAGGGGTTCCCCCCCCCCCCTCCGGTGCGGTTCAACCTTTTGAGGACTACACTATAGATTTAACGTATTGACGGACGCCATGACTTCGTAAGAGATTTTAATAGTATTTCAGACGGCTCACGTTTCCACACTTCCAAGGTTATGTCGTAGACGCTCGGTGGTGGCCGCCTTGTTCTTAATTAGGACTTTGTCTAAGTGATAAAGCGTAAAGAAGCGGAATACTACGGCAAGCGAGACACGCCAAAAAACTAGCTCTCATTAAGGAACTACTAGTAGGCACGTTCTCTGTGCCTGATTGTGATAATCCAGGACCTAAGAGATCGCAGAGAGAAAACGCGTCACAAAACAGGGCTTGTCCGTAGTTTTGATATAAGGGCACGTAATTGTCATTACATGTACTCGGTATGACGCAAATAAGTTGATCAGTGGAGCTCCGCATATGGAGACCGTTTTGTTTGTGCATTCTGCAGACAGATGCTCTCTAAAGTTTCGCAAAACCTCAACAGATGATCCGCCTGGGCATTGTACATTATATATCTGGTACATGAAATACGTGTATGTTAACGCATATGAACGTATAATGGGTAACCGAGGGTTAAATCCAGGACTGGAGCCAGTTGGTGCCCCCCCTTTCGTAACGGATATATGCGACGACACACTTGATGTCGTCCTGTATCAAACCAGTCTATATCAGGAACAGACAGGATTTTCCAAAATTCTTAGAATTGCTAGCGTTCTCTTTTGGTTGTTATGACGATCTTTCTCGTACTCTGACCATAGACCCAAGAGCAAGAGATTGCCCAGGTAAACTCCCTTAGCAATATCTGACGAATTGTGCAATCTGCTGGGAATGAGAAGGTACTAGCATGTGTAGGACCGACAGAGGATGATAATTCTGTCTCCTCCATACAAGATTGTTCACATGAGATAAAGTCAAGACGAATCTGCGATCGCCCTTTAAGATTTTATTCTTGAAGGATCAGAAACAAAAGTCGGGTCTTTCTTTTGAAACTGCAGAAGCAACAAAAATAACTAGGCTCTGGAGTTCTGTGTGTGACTTGCATTTCTTCCGCATTAAATGGCAAAATGACCTCTGAAATTTTACTCCCGGGAAAATGTTTGTGATTTAACCATGAATCCCTGAATATTGACCAACTTTTCTAGAACATGGAGCCCAATTTTCATACGAAGTCCGAAGTTGGCCTTCGTCTTGGTGGCAATAAAAAATCCCGACACCTCATTGCCCAAGTGCAAATCGTAGCAAAAGTATTGGGCGCTGCGCTCATGCCTAATGATAAGCAAGTTATTCGTAGCAATTCATTGCGATAATTTAGGCGTAGAAGACCTTCCGTGGCTACGGGCCATAGGTAAATGACACTACGCCTGAGAAATGTTGATTTTGCATGGACAATCAGGTTGTAGAAAAGAGAAATAGAGGTACTGTGTGTGTTAACACGTATGTGTATTAACGAATCGGTCAGCTGATATATAAATTCTGAATTTCCAAATGGACGATGCGGTCGCTCTTGGACCAGAAATATCAATGGTAGGAAGCTTGGCTGCTCAGTAGTTCGGTCCGGAACTGTTCTGTTATTTTGTTCATGACTGATGTCATTTCTGAACAGAGTGATAGAGATTCTAGAACCGATGTTTGATAAACAGATATTCCAGTTCAACAAGTTCGTTTCGACAACATTGGGGTGAACAAGGGACAGTTTTTGTAAATAGGTATGCGATACCTTGTTATTTCATAATCTGACGTTCACAAGTTCCCATCGGTCTATCAATTGCAGGAGACTGTCCGCTCTGTTGTTAATACTTACGTCGTTTGTTGTCAATGACGGTGCGATAACACGTCTTCGCCCCTGACTTTGCTAATTTTATTCTGCCGAGGATTTGACTAACTCCGAAAGATATTACAATTTTTCGGTGCGAACGAAATATATAAAAACAGCATGAATATGATACAACCACCTTGCGGAAGTGGCTTTATTGCTATTGTCGCCCCTTGCGGAGGTGGATTTATTGCCATTATCGCCACCTTGCGGAGGCCGGTTTATTGCTGTTGTCACCACCTTGCGAAGGTGAGATACTACTAGCACATTGCGAATGTGTATTAATGTGTTAGAAACCTTGAGCAAAAACCCTGTGAGGGCTTTGTAAGGCTGTGGCCCCTGCGACGGGCCTCGAAACTTGAAACTGGATCTACCTGCGAGGTAGATGTAATATTTACCTTTTGCAATGGCCATAAACATTTTCTCACGCCACCAGCTTATTCTACAGCGGCAGTAAACCTCTCTGCGTTGAATAAATTGGTATATTTTATTGGCGGAATTTTCTACAAATTGGCCTTTGTCTATTTAATGGCTAAGCTCAATAATTTAGGCGCAGATCTTAGCATTTGGTGAATCTCAGAACGATGTCTGCAAACAATCCATAATAAAGCTTAAGACTAGGTACTTACTAAAATCCCCTGTGGAAAAAGGGTACTTTTGAAGTAGCATATCACGTGTAGCAGTTCTTGAAGGGTTCCCAAAATCTCTTGTATACCATTAACTTCAAACTCAAACTTAATATCAAAGCAACAAATTATATAATAGGAACGCACATCGGTTTCTATATTTGCACAGTAATCTCACAAGACAATTAGGTACAACAGACAAATAACTGTGCAATATCATTAACAGTCGAACAGAACCTTCGTTCTTTGTTCGTATAGTGGTATAAATCCACCCGATTTCCTGAGCAATAGCTATAGCATAGGGTATCTCGTCAGCAATTCCACATATGCAATATACAGTCCAAGACTGTACCGAATTAACCAACAGTTCTGTTGGGAGCACAGCTCTTGAGTTTTATCCGAAGACACTTTGATAGACATACAATTTCAATACAATTTATCAGGTCATCAACATCTAAATGATATTCTTAAAAAAATTCAATAACACTAGACAGAAATGCATGGTCCAAATTGGTACTAACGTGCATACAATCTATTGCTAAAGGTTACGTACCTGTTTAGTTAGTTTTCGAAACTTACGTTTAGATCGACACTTCCGTAAGAAGAAGTGTTGTCAGGAACAATATGAATAATCGCAATTATTACCTGATTCCATAATAGATAACGAAAGACTAATCTTTATTTAATTTAAAATTTTTACAATTGTAATAAAAGCCGGTAGGACATTTATCACTTTTATAAAAAAGAAATAATAATATAATCGGAAGGTAGTTTCACAACTTGTGAATGGTTGTCTTGTGACTCACAAGACACAACCGTTCACGGCGGGAAACAAGACTGAATGAAATAAAAATAGCGAGTGTCTCTTAGCAAGCCTCCCCAACACTGCCAAGTGGAAGTGACGTAGTAGAAAGAGATAGACATATAGAAAAAGCGGAAGGCCTATCTCAATGAAATACACTTCGAATAACGGTCAAGTCAAATTAATAAAATGTTAAAAGATTTTAAAATGAAAATAAATATAATGTTGTTCTCTTAAAAGCTACCGTAAACAACATAATTTGTATTTTATTGTTACAACAGTCAAATAGCCAATTATGTATCCCATTTTTTTTCTATTCTCTTAGTAGACAAGCGCTTAAATGCTATTTGGTTGAAAGCGTGGAAGAGGAGTTATTATCACTGACTCATGTAGTGCCCAATTTCTCCAATCTTCTCAATTACTAAATACCTAAGATAAATCCTTAATTACCAAACCTCGAAAAGGTCGACAACGGCAACAAATTTGTAACTCGTTGCAACTCTAAGTGTAGCGAGAGTCCATGAGTGCGCGCCGCAGGTGACCATGTGGTATCTGGTCGTTTGAAAACATATAGTTGTAGAAATGGATATAGTAATATGTAGGATGGTACCGTAGATGCCGCGCAGTATAGTAATATGTAGGATGGTACCGTAGATGCCGCGCAGTATAGTAATATGTAGGATGGTACCGTAGATGCCGCGCAGTATAGTAATATGTAGGATGGTACCGTAGATGCCGCGCAGTATAGTAATATGTAGGATGGTACCGTAGATGCCGCGCAGTATAGTAATATGTAGGATGGTACCGTAGATGCCGCGCAGTATAGTAATATGTAGGATGGTACCGTAGATGCCGCGCAGTATAGTAATATGTAGGATGGTACCGTAGATGCCGCGCAGTATAGTAATATGTAGGATGGTACCGTAGATGCCGCGCAGTATAGTAATATGTAGGATGGTACCGTAGATGCCGCGCAGTATAGTAATATGTAGGATGGTACCGTAGATGCCGCGCAGTATAGTAATATGT